TTTCTTCAATTTTTTCTTATGCTCCGAATATGCTCCAACTCTTTCAAAACATCCATTATCAGGGACCACCTTCAAGTTTGCATGACAGGCACATGTGGATAAGTCTTAGCATTTTCCATGCTGCAACGGATTTGTATTGTCCTTTGATCGCTGGATCTACAAATTTCTTTACTCTTTTTTTCTGCTCATGGCGTTTTCCTTCTTCGATTAAGCGCATCACTAGCTCAAAAGTAATTACAACATGCTAAGTTAACAGAAGCCCCTCAAACTTGTGTTTGCTCATTTCCCCTGTCATTAGTTCAACGAGGATCACACGAAACCCATAAGCATCACATTCTGTAGACCATTCATTTGTTTCACCATACTTTGGAGCAATATAAGCTGCATTATCGATGCGAAAAAGATTCTATGTCGCAATTATGTATCTCAGTTTTGCCTGCCCAAAACTAAATAACTTTACACGGAAATCCTCATATAGCAAGAGGTTTACATCTTTGATAGCTAGGATAAAAGCCACTAACCTAGATGGTGTAATATGATGAAATGAAATGCCGCAAGTAGTTTTAATAGAAATTTTTAGCATGTCATCCCAAGACAAAGACCGATTGCTTGCTTTCAAACTTGTGTTTTAAATTTCCATTCTTCATTAGCTCATAAACCACAAATAGGAAATCTTTCTCACTCACGTAGCCTATGGGACTCAGAAGATTGGAATGAAATAATCTTCTAAGATTTGTCATTTCTAACAGCCACTTTTGGTAAACTTCCTCTAACGGTGGGTTTACCTCTCAGAGAATGACAACATCCATAGCCACGAAGTAACGCAAAAAAAGTTAAGCAACATCCATTAGTTCGAGCTTGGTTTTCTCTACACGAATATCATAAGTGTTGTTGGTCATTACACCTCTCCAACACTAAATAGTTGTGACAAATCATTCATGTTAAACTCGTGGAATGACGTCTCCTATTCCTCCTTAAGAACACGGCCAACAAGGTTTGGGGTCTATGGTCTACAGGAAGTATTTCCTCCCAATCAAAAGTATCATCAGTCCTTATATTTGCAAGATTAAGAGCAGTTGGAGGTGGAACAAAGTCATCTCCTGCATAAACAAAGGATTGAGATAGGAGATTATCTGCTGGAGGAGGAACAAGGTCGCCTTTAGGGTTCTCCTAATTCATAATGTTCGAGAAAATGTTATCTTTATTAACGAAACATACCAATGATGAATTGCCCATCTCTATAACTCTAGCTAGCTAGAAAGCTCTAGGTTGAGAGCAGCTATCTCTGGCTAGGTTTAGGTCTAGGGAAAAACATATCATAATCTAAGAATGCAAATCCAAAGTAACGTTGGTTCATCGGTTATGAGAATGATAACATTGATATCCTTTCTGATGTGTGACATATCCCTCCAAAACACACCTGAGTGTATATGGATCAAGTTTGCTATGCTAATTCTTATGAAGATAAACAAATACCACACATCCAAAGATAAGAGGCGTAAGCATCAAAACGAAGCGCAAGGGCCTGTGTTACGCGAGCACTTGTAATGGAGTGTAAAAGCCTAAGACACTTGTAACAAGTAGACCGCCATAACAACTGCATCTTCCCAATAGCTTTGATATATATGAGCTCCAATAAGAAGTGCTTGGGCTATTTCGAGAATGTGTCTTAGCATTTTCCATGCTATAAGGGATTTGTATTGTTCTTTGATCCTTGGATCTACAAATTTCTTCACTATCTTTTTCTCTCGTGACATTTTCCTTCTCCGATAAGATGCATCACTACCTTAATAATAATTACAACTTGTTGAGTTAATAGAAGCCCCTCAAACTTATGTTTGCTCATTTTGCGTTTCATGAGTTCAGTCAGAATCACGCCAAACTCATAAATATCATATTATGTAGACCATTCATTTGTTTCACTATACTTTGGAGCAATATAAGCTATATTATCGTTGCGTAAAAGATTCTATGTCACAATTAGGGATCTTAGTTTTGCATGCCCAAAACCAAATAACTTTACATTAAAAACCTTATCCAGCAAGAGGTTTACATCTTTGAAAGTGGGATAAAACCCACTACCCTAAATGGTGCAATGTGATGAAATGAAATGCCGCGAGCATCTTTAATATAAATTTTTAGCATGTAATCCCAAGACATGACTAATTGGTTGCTTTCAAGATAGACTTTTAAATTTCCATTCTTCATTAGCTCATAAACCATAAATAGAAAATCTTCCTTACTCGAGTAGCCCATTGGATTCAGAAGATTAGAATGAAACAATCTTTTAAGATATGTTATTTCTAATAGCCACTCCTAGTAAACTTCCCTCGACGATAGGTTCATCTACTGGAGAATGGCAACCTTCATTCTATTGAAGTTACACAAAAGGGTGGGGGTAAGTGTCCCCTATCCAGATTTCCCTTGATCATAAGTTCGAGCTCGATTTTCTCTGCATGAGTATCATAAGTGTTGTTGGTCATTATACCTCTCCAACATTGAACAACATGTGACATATCATTCATGCTAAAAATGTGGAATGACATCTCATTTTCTTCTTCAAGAACGCGACCACCGATGGTTTAGGGTTTGTCCATGGGAAGTATTTCCTTCAAATTGGAGGAATCATCAGCCCTTATATTTGAAAGACTAGGAGCAGCTGAAGGTGGAATAAGGTCATCTCCTGCATGAACAAGGGAGTGATAGAGGAGATTATTTGCTGGAAAAAGTAACTATTATCATTAAACAAATTTATTCTGATTTTAAGTTTTGGAAAGTATTAAATGTCTTGTATTTTTTGAAGATCTTATCTGCAATTAAACCTAGCCAGAGACAATTACACATCCAAAGAAACAAAGGGTCCGTGTTTTACGAGCACTTGTAATAGAGTGTGAAAGTCTAAGACGCTGAAAGGCATGTGGCTTAACAAGTATACCGCAGTAACAATTGCATCATCGTAATGGCTTCGAGGTACATGAGCTCCTATAAGAAGTGCTTGAGCTGTTTTAAGAATCTGTATGTTCTTTCGTACAGTAACACCATTTTGTTGTAGTGTCTAAGGACAAGTTGTCTTATGTAGAATGTCATACGGCTTGAAATAACTTTGATGTCATGGTTTACATGTTCCTCACCATTGTCAGAGCGGACACTTTGTATATTGGCAGAGAACTAAGTTTGAATCTATTTGTGGAAGGACTAAAATATGGTAAACACTTCGGTTTTATTCTTCATCAAGTAAAGCTAAGTCATGTGAGTACAAGTATCCACCAATTTCATAAACCATCGAATGCCATAAGAGGTAGATATATGTGATAGACCCCAAACATCATAATGAATTAGTGCAAAAGGAAAAGTATTTTATTTGAATTCAAAGGGTAAGACACACAGTGACTAGGCTAAAATGGTCACACTTAAAATTTGAATCACTGAAATCTGAAAATAAATCGAGGAACAAGTGTCTCATATAACCAAAAGACGGATGTCCCAAACTTCGATGCCACATCCAAATTTGCATGTTTTTGTCATCATATGGATGTGTCACACTATTTTTCCTTCCCGTACTAAAGTCATGCCAGAGCAATCTTGTTGAAGAATATAAGTCTCACATCGAAAATTTGACTAAATAAAATACAACATATGATGAATGGTTTCACTACTAATACCACCAAGGCTTTTTGTGATAAAACCTCACACTTACTGGGCTTTAAAGGTGGTTAAGTTGGGGACAATATCGGTGTTGCTAGTAGTGTGCCGATGACCCGTCTATCTGAAATTTAAGATGGTATCAGAACCTGGTTGATTGACTTGACCTAAATTACTGGGCCTTTACCTTTACCCCTTACCCAACATGTGATGTTCACATATTGGATTTGAATGTTTACCCCTACCTAATAAGTGGTGCTCATGTGATGGGCTAGAATGTGTGACTCTGATGTGGACTTAGCTCCACGTATGGCCTACTATGTGGTGGTCCCACGTGAATGAGCATGCTAAAGAATATAAATTCCACATTGGAAACTTGGCTAAATAAAATACAATATATAATGAATGGTTCCACTACTAGTATCACCGAGGTCTTTTGTAATAAAACCTCACACCAACTAGGCTTTGTAGGTGGTTAAGTTAGAGACAATATTGGTGTTGCTAGTAGTGGGCCGCTAACCCGTCCCTCTAAAATTTAACAATTTGATATGGAAGAATTCTACATTACCGTTATGGTCTCATTTTCCGTTGTCGTTGATATTGACGTTGCCCTTACTTTTGCCTCTTGATGTGCCCTATATATATTTTTTTTTTGGTTTGTTGTTGTGTGTTTCCGTTGCCGTTGTCGTTGCCATGGCCATTTCCTTGCCTTTATCTTTCTTTGCTCTTGCCTTGCCTTGCTTTGCCTTGGCTTTACCTTTATTTTCCTTTGTTTTTTTCCAGCCTTGCCTTACTTTGCCTTTTTTAACCCTGCTTTGCTTTGGCCTTATTTTTTATGGTTTTCTCTTGTGTTTCCGCTTAGATATTTGCTTTGGTTTGTTTGTTTCTTAATTCGTGGCTACAACAAGACCTTTTCTATTGTTGGTTCGATTGGTCAATCTTGAGTATGGTGTTCTATGACTCACTTGTTAAGTTGGGCATGCGAAACATCTTTACGCCAACTAGAGAGGGAGTGTTGGCGAATTAGGATTTTAGTTACTTACGCGTTTATTTAGTCATATTGTAATTGAGATTTATTTCTTATTTTATTTAGGTTTAACACATCTTTGTACTTCTTTATAAATACCTCCATATTAGAGAAGGAAATTTTTCACATTCCAAAGCGGTTCATGGAAGGAAAAAACTTGGCTCCTTAAAACTGAGGAGCACCTCCTCAAAACAAATGAGATTTTGAAACTTGTTAATTTCAGTTAACTTTTTATGATTTTTATTATTTTAAGTTTCTTTGTTTTGGAATTTGACAAGTGTCAAAATCCTATTTACTCCGAGGAGGAGTTCCTCCTTAGTTACAACAGCTTCTAGCAAACTACAAAATGAAAGAACGTAAAAATATATATCATGATACTACCGCATACATTACCTCTGTTAAGATATTGTTAAAGAGATTGGACTGCAAGTATTCAGGAATTTCATGGCTCAAATGGCCATCAAAAATTGCAAATAGTCCTAGCTCATGGTCATCGATTTGCTTAAACTGTGCAACAACATAGTCTTCCATAGCATGATGGGATTTTCCCTTTACCAAGTGGAAGCCATGTGTTATATGGTGTGACATTTTGCTCTTTCCTTTTCCAGAGTCGGGGTCTGATGGACCTAAAACTTTCTCCTACATTAAACAAACTCACATTTAGATTCTCAATCAGAAAGCTTAAACCAAAATATCAGGGTATGTATTTTTTATAGGCAACGAGCAAGACAACGTTGAAAAGCAATCACATTTAACAAGACAAAGCACAAGAGAGAGAGAGAGAGAGAGAGAGAGAGAGAGAGAGAGCAAAAAGCCTACATATTTTGAGAAGCTAGTTAAAAACTGATCAATTTTATTTTCTACTCTAATTGCTAGGTACCCATAAAGCGTACTACAATTGTTGATATTAGGTTAACTAGTCCAAAAGGGGAAAAAATTAAAGATAGAAACCTATAGCTTCTAAAGTAGTTTTAATCCTTTCAATGTGAAATACAAATTTCTGAAAAGGCTACACAAAACCCTGCTGGCCGCTTCCAGAAATAAAAATAATCAAAGCAGAGCAATAAAAAAAAAGTAGATGAATTTTACTTATACATCTTTTTAAATGTTCTGTCTTTGGCTCCAAGTACCTACTCTCCTCTCTTTTATTTAGTCTTGATTAATTTCACTAAGATTCCATACTGCATTTTAATCCTCCTAAGTGAAGTAAATAAAACATGATGTTTGCAACACCCATAAACCCAAAGTAGCAAGAGCAAAAGGAAGAGTGGGGTTTTGGAGATCATAGAAAGGGTTTTTCCTCTTGCAACATCCATAAACCCAAGGTAGCAAGAGCCAGAGAAACATCAGAGTTTCAGATCTAAAATTGCAACACAAGACAATTTAGAGAAATGGGTTATTGTCAATAATATATAAACCACAAAGATCTGCAATAATTTGTCTACATGGGTGTGGATGCAAATCAAATTGCAGATCAGGCAGATATCAAGAACAAGCCAAATAATGAACAAATCAGTAAGCCAATTGAGAAAAGGATTAAAACTCATTAAAGCACATACATCAAACATGAAGCAGTGTAAGTACACATGTAGCACACAACATACCTTCATCTTATTGAGAATTTCTCTGCCGGTCATGGCTGTCTTGTTGTGGAGCCTTATACGTATAAAACTATTCAATTAAAATTGAAACAGAAAATGGAAATGGAATTCACAGTGGCCACGAAAGAAAAAGAGAGAGAGATGGACAAACAACAACAATCAGGTCACAGAGGAGGAGGAGAGAGATAGAGAGAGAGAGAAGTGTGAAGAAGAGTTGAGGATGAGGATGATGCTTGTGTTGACACGACCTCTCTGTTTCCAGCCTTTCTCTTCCAATTCTATGCCGCGTTCTCTGCATTAATCAAAGACGCGTTCGCGCCGCGACTTGTCTTTTTTTAATTTTTTTCTTTTTTCTTTTTTCTTTCCTTTTTGCTTTGAATAAATAATTACGAGAAACGATAGAAGTGTAAATAAATTACGAGAAACGATGGGATGGGAGTATAAATAATTACGAAGGTAAGAGCAGGCGAAACAGCAATGACGCGTCACTGGGTCGCGTGCATCATGACACGCACGTTAGGATTAAATTATTTTCAAGGGTCAATATTGTATTTTTATTAATAAATTGAGTAGTAACAATTATTGGATTTGATTATACACTGTTGACTATTGACTTTTTATTTAAGAAAAAAAAAAAAAATAACGTATATCGAGAATAATAAGCATATGGTAAAGGCATAACTTTTCAAACGGTATTTCCAAAAATACGATTCTCACCCTTTCCCGTTTGTTTAAAGGGGATAGGAGGAGTGGGACTGGACATCCGAGGTTTGGCCAATCATAGTAGTTGTACTTGACGGAAATAGCCAATCTTACTGTTCTACATGATAAGGGTGGGGGATAATGGGTGAACCAATCGAACCGACCGAATTGGATCGATCGAATTGGACCGATTGAATTGATTCGGTCGATTTGGGCAGTTCTCTTTTCTTTTTCTTTTTTTTCTATATATTTCGCATGAATCAGTTTGCCTGCAATTTTGATTTTAATAAGCCTACTCACATGTTTACTAATCTGTAATTAGATAATGATGAATTAAATGGAAGAGAATTAGATTATGAATTTTTATTGAAGTTGTTTACTAAATCATATGGAATTGGAGTAGGAGTTGTACTAATTACTAAAATGTTCCCGTTGTTTGGTTAAAGTAGATGGCAAATTTGGAATTTTGAAAATTATGTGAGGATATAATTGGTAAAAAAGATGAATTCTTAATGGGTTAGTTCTTCAGGAATTATAATACCACCTCCCAGCCAAGAATTGAATTCCTCCAAAATCAGGAATTCAATTTTTAATTTTGTATGGGCCCCACTTACTTTTCAATTATTTAATGTGAAGTAAACGTAAGAATCCTCCATATATGGAATTCAATTCTTGATGAGAATTCTAATTCATGTTTAGTAAACACACCATAAAAGACAGATATCGTTGCATTCTAATTCACCCACTTGTTAAATTCTCACTTTCCATTTATAGCCACTCATCTCTTCTCATTTCCTATCTTTGTCTCCTTCATTCCTCGAACCCTGATAACAAACGCCACCAATCATCAAACCTCATTTCTCCCACCACAATACAAAACTTCATTTTCCAAAGTTATCTCGCATTTGTCTCTCTCACCCTGGCTTCATATCTATTTATCCACACCATGTCCCTTATCGTTGAAGACTCCAACAAAGAAACCATATTTCACCACATGTGTCGAAGCCTATGCATCTTGAGATTTGTTCATATCACGTCGTCAGTTGAGAGGCGAAGGTGGGCTAAACAGAACCATGCCCATCCACAATACGTGAACTAAATTTTTTCTAGGGTGGTTGTGGTTCGGTTAGTTCTTGGCCTCAAAATACTTATCGATCTAATGTTATATCATTATTCTGGTTGGTTCGATTTAGGCCTCAAATGAGTAGCATTACTGAACCAAATTAGTTCATTTAGTGATTGATTTGGTTCGGTATTTTTCCTTCATAAGAAGTTAAGCAAATATTCTACATATTCTTACATATATCAAAGGAAATTCATCTTAAAATTAAGTAATAGTGGAAAAAATTTCTTGCCTTTGAAGATATAGAAATTTGAGAGAGAAACACATATATATATATATATATAGATGTATATTTTCTTCACTTTCTTTTATTTAACCCTTCCCATGGGGTACTACAAAATTAATGGTAAAAAAGTAGCTGTAAATGGTGGAAATACAAGACAATAACAGAAAGAAAAATATAAATCTTCCTTTTGTTTGCAAATGGGTCTTTCCTTTCTTAATGTCAAGATATACGGAATCAGATGTGTAGAATTTACAAAACTTTCCTCTTAGCAGCCGAGTCATGTAAAAGCTTAGAATTGCTTGTGTGAACCTATTGAGCCCGCAAAGTGAAAAAACGAATACGTAGCACATATCATAATGTCAAGTAGAACATGATTGATGGAGAAGGATGAAAGCTTTTTCTAGTCTTTAAAACATCTTAGGCTTATCCAATCTTACCAACTAGTTTTCAATTGAAGGTTCACATTCTAATATAGTATCAGAGTAGGTTATCTATGTGACAGGCCCAACGAATCCTTCCACGCCACCTAATAAGAATTGTTTACATACATATGAGGCGTGTTGAGAATATCGAAAGATTGATGAGCTGGCATCTATTGTCACTATAATACAATCTAAGTGCTCGTTTGGTATTGCTTATTTGTGGCTATAAATGATTTTTTTGAAATTTTTGAAAGCCCAACCTCTTTCGTAAAAGATAATAAAATCACTTATTTTGAATAATTGCTGTGAGAGAAAGCAATTAGGGAAAGCAGGTAATGAGCTGCTTTCGTTTTTTGATTATGCAGGAATCAATTTTGAAGAGGCGTTGGGTTTAATGAAACTTTCAAAATTCCAAAAATAACCCCGTGTTTTTTTTCACCAACTGCATTTCTAACAAAAAGTTTATCAAACACCAAACTGCTTTCTTTCACAGTTGATTTCTTTTACAGCAAATCTGACAATGATTATTTTTACAGCACAGCAACGCCAAACTGGAAGTAGTTCCCAGCATTGTTCTTTTTTCTTTTCTTTAAAAAAAAAAAAATTGACTCAAATTAACTGAGAAAGGAAGAGAAGAAAATTTGAGTTGTTGGCGTAGTGTAGGTGAGGGGACATCATCTGCATAACTAACCATATTATTGCAGTTGCAGATTGGCACTACAACGATTGTGGAGGTCAAAGTGGTGTAGTTGTAGTAGTAGTGCTAAGGATACGATAGTGGAAGGCTGGTGCTGCTTTTTTCATGATGTTACATAGACAAGGAAGAAGAACTATTATTTTTGGATATGCCATGGGCCATCAGCAGCTTTCATAACATTTATGTTATATATATAAAGAAAATTGCTAAGAACACCAAATTTGCATCCCAAATATATGGCATATCCCACATCATCACTTAAAATTTAACAAAATTTCTAACATGTATTTTAAAGGTTACATTTTTTTTTTATAAAAAAAAAACATTAATATTGATTTAACCAAAGCCCGAATCAAAACCAAAATATCCCACCAGCGCCTAACAATTAACCCAAGCAGATCAGATCAGTATCATTTTATTTTATTTTGCCATATTTCCTTTAATTTCCATTCTTTCTATAGCCTATGTTTTTGCAATAAATGAACTGGCCTAAACGCATTTAAATTCCTTTCAATTACAATGATGAAGTCAAAGCCCTTCCAGATCATCATCTCCCCCTCATTTACATTAGGGAATGAAAGGATATGAAGCCTAAAGACTAGACTATGGTTGTGGTGGGATTAGGGAAAATATAGGGAAGGTAATTTGCATGAGATGCTGCAAAATATGGGGAAATATGACTTATAATTGTGTCGGAGTCGGAGTTGGAGTTGGAGCTCTATGGTGGTTCAGCGCGACGGAGCAAGGGGGGGTTAGGTGGTGGTGAGATACATCGGTACTAATTGTTTGGGACCTTTGATTAATTAAAATAATAATAATAATTTATTTCCTTTTCTAAAAAGAAATAATGACTCCTAAATACATGTTCACATAATTCGGGATCCAAATCATCAAATTTGGTGTCCCTCGTATTATTGAAAAAATAAAATCATTATGCACTCAATTATCCAGATTTAATGAAGTTATGAGCTGTGTATATGATGATTAGTTCCATCATTGAACTGTATCATAAAATTGCTCTAGAAAAGATGGCCAATTATTTTTTTTTTGTTTAAGAATAATTAAGGACGTCCTTACAGGAAAATTCTAGGGTGGAATAGAAGATGGCATTAATTCAAAATCCCAAGTCACCAAGCAAGTACTCACACGAATGAACTTTGAATTTAAGTCAAATTTCAACAAGGTTATGAGTGGATTCGTACAGGGCTCCCAAAATTTTAGCTTTTGTTTCAATTTTTGTTGCTTACTCGTTTTGTACAGGGCTCTTAAAATTTTAGAGTTGCCTTAATTGTGGGGATTAATTTTACGGTTAGTTAGTCATAACATAAATGATTAAACCTGGTTGGGGAGAATAAGAAAAAATGGACAATTTCCTACAGTTCCAAGAGACTAAATTAATCTCAATGTGTCATTATATTCACTTAAGTTGTTAATCAATATGCCCTTGCAAATGCGAAAAATGGTTGTTAGTTCTTAAAACCCCCCAGTTTAAAGGTAGAAAGAGAGAAAGGTGGAGGTGGCAAGTCCCCCATTGATTTGTTATTGTCTGTATGTTTATGAGAGAGAGAGAGAGAGAGAGAGAGAGAGAGGCAACTGAATGGGTTGCTATTCTGGTTGGAACCTTACAATAAGACGAAGAAATATTATTCATGAAACCAATTCCATGAATTGAAGCAACCAACATTACTTGTGAAATTGCAATGAAAAACAATCAGCAAGAGTTCAGTTTACCTATAAGGATCCGACATCTTCATAATTTCTAGATACAAGTTTCAAAGGTGTAATTAGTGTTCTCCCAAAAAGATTACAATTCGAAGCAATTGGAGATAGAGAGAGGGGGCAGTATATGTGCTGAATTCCATGCAACAATCATGACCCTTACAATCAATTTCTAAAGTCTTCCAAATCTCATGATGATGGAGTGAGCCATCGGATATTTTGGTGGGTCCTTTTTTGTCTCAACCCTAGTCACCACCGTTGT